GGAGCCGCGCTCGGGGCGGGGCGGGGCCGGAGCCGCGCTCGGGGCGGGGCCAGCACCGACCTCTGCAGCACAAGCAGGCTGTCCGCCCGAACGGGAATGGAATGGCCGTGCTGCTGCACTGGTACCCACAGGAAAGCGAGGCTGCAAGTTCGCCTCTGCCGCCTCGAGCAACTGCACAGAAGGTGAAACAATGCATTTTATGATGCTGAGCTGCTAATTAATTGCATTTTATCTGATGCACGGGGACGAGAATTGGGAAAGAAGTTTGTGATCTTTCTCTAGAGCATAGACTAAAGAAACGGTTTAGAGCAGTGAGAGAAAGGGATGTGAAAAACAAAGTTCACTCTTTAGAATTTTTTTAAGTTTAATAAGGGAATAAAAAGGGGCATTCTGGGGTGTTTCTGTCTATTGGCCAAAGATCACGCCGGTAGATTAAGACAGTTATCTATATACTGTTCCATTACTGAGGTACGTGCATATTCCTGTGTTCATACATTATTCAAACATTCCTGTGAGCTTCTTTGATGTTCAGGGACTCTTTTGTTTGGTTTTACACTGCGAGTTATCTGCGTGAGATCCTGTGGATGAGGTCAATATATTTTATTTCTTCTCGTGTTCCCATCCTGTTGTTTCACACTCCCTGATAAGGAGTTAACAAGCTCTTCTCCAGTTCTTCTCCGGTGCTCTGGTTTGTGTCACTGTTATCACTAGGAGAGGCTGGTCAGCACAAGTGAAGGAAACAACATAATTACCTTTTAGCTACATAGGAGCATTTTAACATTTCGTGTTTTGCTAAGGCTTACGATGTAATATCTTCATCACATTACTATTTCTATAAGGTATACGGTGCAAAACTAATAGATTGTGTTACACTAATAAGCAACTAAAAGAAGTTACAAATTGTACCGTATCCAAATACTCATGATCAATAATAACATGTAAGAGCTAATACATAAATGTGAAAGCCAATATTATATTATCATTTTTAACGGGGGGGAGGGAGGGGACGGGAAAGGGACTGGGGGATGTGTTTGGGTTTTTTCAGCCTGAGGTTGAACTCTAGTACCACCTGTGGCTCTTACCAAGTGTTTTTGTCTTTACCACCACAGCAGGACTAACGAGCAAGGACAGGTAGCTAGCAGCAGCTGCTGTTCTTGATACTTTTGTCATTTGTGTCTTGTTTTCTCCAGCAGTTAATGCAGACTTACACTAGTGCAAAGAGGGAAGCATCCATGTCGGTACAATTGTTCTAAAAAAGCTACAGTAGGGAGATAATTATATAGATAATTAGGTATTAGTGTCATGTACATTTGAGTATTAAAAAATATTAATCATACATTCCAGATTTTGATCCATGCAATGGTAAAAGCTCTGTCCACAACTGGCAAAGCAATGGCATTGATATTCTACACAAACTGGACATGGAGACTACAAAAAAGTGCAAACTGTCAGACTGGATGAAAGCCCAAATGAATAATTCATTTTCAGATGCATTAGGCTGCAGCACAGATGTAACTGGAGAGGAAGATTACTTAGTTTATGATGGAGATCTAGGAATAAACTGTAAATATAACAATAATTCAGATAATCTGAATGCCTGTAGTTGTACAAAATATATTTCTGGTATTTTAAACTTAGCCTGTTCTGAAGATAACAAAAATATAAAAGCAGCAGCCAATTATGAAACTCCTCTACAGCCTGAAGAATTCTCCAGTCATCACAGAGGCACCAGAGGAACAACTGGAGCTCCAACTGAAATGCCTGGAAGTGAAGCTTCCTTTAAGAAGGAATTACCTGTTGGTAGTTCCAGTAAACCAGATAGCAAAGAACATATAACTACCTCCAAGATGTCCAATGTCCTCCTGCGTCATTTTTCTAGGGGAGAATTACTAAGCACATGCCACTTAATTGAAAGTGAAACAATACCAGAGATGTCCTTTACTGAAAGTATCGATGACACTGGGAGCAAACCTGAGCCTTCAGAACACATCAAAGGCCCTCTAGTGCATGAACAATGGGCAATGAGCTCCGAGGAGCATCCATTAGAAAACCACAAGGAAGTAAAGGCTCGTGACAAAAATGGAAACCCGTTAAATGAAAATAGATCTGTTTCAAAGAAATATGTTTTTTCTTCTGGTCAGTGTGGGTGCCGACAAGAATATTCACAACTGACTAATGAGACTGGAAGTACACAGAGCTTTGAAAACATGAAAGATGAGAGAGCCCTGTTTAAGAAAACAGTTTCACCTTGTGAGCTCAAATATGGGCAAGGGCAAGCTCACTATTGCCTTCCTAACTTCTCTGAAGTTGCAGTACTGAAAAAACCTGACCATATTACCTCAGTTCCTTCAACTGAGAGAGTAAAACCCTTTCCTATTTTGCTAAATAAATCATTAACTGTGAACAGCATTTTGGAAAATAATAATTACTTCAATTCTGCTGAAGTAGACAATCAAGAAGAAAGGAGTATTTCAGAACTGCTGCAACAGCTTCAGGTAATTTGGATGTTTGAAGAAATTCTTCATCCTGGGTAAGAGTGGTTTATTGTAAGAAGATATTCTGTATCCCATAAAATCTAACATGAATAGCTCTATAGGCACCCTGTAGGTATATCAGTGAGTACCTCACTTGACTCAAAAACTGCTTTAACAAATAAAGTTCTGTGGAACTGACTTTATACAGAACTGTCATTACCAATTATCTAATGCCTGAATATTATTTAATACTCCAGTATTTAACACTGGAGCACTGTTTGTGATGATAAAGCATCCTATCAAATCATTAGGAAACCCACTGTAAATTGTTATTTCTTGTGTTATCTTTAAACATAAATTTAAGATTTATGTTTAAAGATCTAAATTATCTTCACAAAAAATACTTCAAATACATTTTTAACAATAACATTCTATTTTTATACTGTGCCCATGTTAAGATATCTTTGTCTTTTTTCACATCTAACACTCTTCAACTACCAAGACTGATATTTATTGTCAATTCTTTCTAAAGGATTTTTTTGACAATGTATTTATCTTACTGTAGTGAATTTATTTTAAAGCTTGTTAGTAATTAGACAACCACTGCTCAATTTCATGCCCTGACATGGAGCTCACTCACTGAGCTTTACAGATTCTTAATTCCATTCCTAGATTTACATCTTAGTAAATTGCTTGAGATACATGTTTTAATAGTTTTCCACATTATTTCCTGGCTGCAAATGAGATGCTGACATAGCATGCTGACCAACTGAGATTTAATCCTAAAGTAAATCTCTCAAAATACATTTTTTTCTCAAGTAATTATTTTTTATCTCTAGAAGTATGACTATCCCCCTAAAACTATTTTGTCACCTTCATGTTGTATTTCCCATTTATACAAATCCTCCATATTTTTACAGCAGAGCAGAAGTATTTGAAGTATTTATACAATGAAACACTTCACACATCCATCAGCTCAGAAAATTAAGTGGTACTGTTCTAATAAACATTTTGTTAATATTTTGTATTTTGAGTTAAAGTCCAGGTCCCTAAGTGTTCTGTACATTTTATCTATAATGAAGGTTCTAATTTTAACAGGTACTTCCTCAGTCAGACTTCACAAATGCTATTTCCTCAGGACACACTAGGACACCACCTGATGCCATCATGTTACGTGCTCCTGTCCCTGTGCAACCTACACGTGGTTTGCTTAAAGCAAGTAAATAAAATTACAGTAACTATGCAAATTACTATTTAATGTAATTTGATTACACTTTTGGGCCAAAATTGCAATTGATCAATCTTACTTTGTATTCCATAGGACTGCAGCCTGGAACAGCACTACCAGCAGCTGGGACAGTAGAAGCACAGTGTCTAAATCCTTCTGATTCACTGCCAGAACTAACACTAGGAGAAAAGATGTCTCAAATACTAAAGGATCAGACAGAGCAACTGACTAAGAAAGTAAGAGCTCTGTTTCAATATATACTTTGCACTGATGCTCAAATCCCATACTCACTTGGCAAATTTGTTTAAATATAATACAAGTCTAATATTTTGTCTTGAAGGTGGAAGACTTCTCTAAGCATATGATCCAGGAAACACACTTTTTGCAAGACAAATATCTGGTAAATTAATTTATGTACTTTGAGCTATCTGAAATGGCTGTAGACTTACAATTTTCTGGCAAGGTGCTTGATGTTTACTTCAAATGGTTGTTTACCCTTCTCAATTCAGACTGAAGGTGTGACATTGGGAAACAAAAATAAAGGCGTTCAGCAGGTGGATGAATTCTTAAATCTTTTAAGGAATCCAGCTTAAAACTATTAATACAAGGCCTGAAGTTGCCATTTTAAGTTAGGAATTTTGACATGTAAGACATCAGTTCAGAAATAATTTTTAGTATTTTATTCAGACATAATAGAGCAGCACAGAGTATTAGGTGAACATACCATATGCAGTACTGTTTCAATTCAGAGAACTACCAAAATTCTTAACAGCAGTGCAAATTACATCTGGCTTACATAGCAAGACACAGTGATAGCTACTTATGCTAAGTTACCATGACATTTTGTATTGAATTATTTCTTATTAATGAAGGCATTAAATCAACTGAAAAGATACCTTGATGCCTTGGAAAGAAATTATTTAAAAGCTAGAGAAGAGCACCACAACTTACAGCTGCAGAACTACAAGGACAAGCCTATCAACCTTGGAGAGTTTGATCCTGAGAGGTTAGACAAGAAATGCTAAGTAGTACATCAGTATTATCTTCTGTGACTGTCTTACAGCTTTTACTTAATTTATCCATTAGAGTTTCCCTGATGTGAAACTATTATCTTAATGTGATAAACTAAAAGTTGTTTGGCCAAAATTCACCTTGGGCTTTACATATCCTACTTGTAATTGGGATGTCTATTTGATTAATTCAAATACTTAAAAGGGACTCTGTCAACTCCATACATTTTGTTTTTTCCTATGGGAAATGTACTGCAATGTCCATTATGATTATCGTGGTAAGAAATAAGAGATTAGTTTAGAGAGTTTTAAGTAACTGTTGGTTGTGATTGGATTTAGAAGGGTGGAAGGAGAGATATTCAGGCTTGGCACGCTGCTTGAAGACATTCAAGAACGAATCGATGGCAGCAAAGGCGGCCTTTCATCGTTACTGACTTCCTGTCAATCTGCTCAGTCTTTCTGTGAGGTAACTGACTTTTATTAAAGACAATTATTCTGTTTTATTGATAAAAGTCTTGAGAACTTAAGTGCAGTTGTGCGATTGTATGTTCTGCTCCAGTAAGATCATGATGCTTTTAGATAGCACATTACTTAAAAGGAAAATATTTTAATGAAATATTAACTACATAATATGTAATTAACTGTAACAGAAACCTAAGTAGAAAAACACAATTATATGTCCTTAGTTCCAGTTTCAAAAGCATTTATTTCACACTAAGAAAATATGAGTAGCTCACTTAACTTCTGCAAATTTGTTTTGGGGAATTAATCACTATCATTTTGTGGGAGGAAAAATGACTTTGTCCAAGATCTTAAGCTGCAGAATTACTAGAAGACCAAACAGCATTGTGCTAGAGAAAATTGAGCTTGCTCCTAAGAATGGTAATATTTTCTCCCAGATCATAAATATACATACACACTCCCCCCTCCAAAAAAAAATTAATTTTATTGCCTTCTACAAATCTACAGGTAATTCTCAAAAAATGCTTTCAAAATCAATGTTTTAGGTAACCTGGGCTTCAGAGAAAAATGGTAAGAGAACCTGAGGAGATGTTTTTTGGTAAGAGTCATTGCTTGCAATGCAAGGCCCACATACACCTGTGTTTGTGCTTTGTTACTTTGTACAGAGCTCAGCAGTTTCAAGCACTGCTGATTTTCCACAAAGAAGAGGTACCGAAACTCCATCTTTTCACAAGAACTATGATGGAGAAAGAAATCAGACAACTGATGTAATCCCACCAACAAATCAACTTTCTTTAGAAGGCAAAAAATGCAATCTTTGTCTTCACATGTAAGTGAAAACTTGGAAACAGCTGTTGAAGTTTTTACAAAAACATACATAAGAATAATTGCTGCATAAGAAAATTCAGATGTGTGAAATCTCTGAAAAGCAACATGAATATTTCCAGAGTAAAAATTCTACTGAATTATATAACTATATTCTATTCTATATCCAAGAATTCCTCCTAGCCTGGTCTTCCTACCTTTCTCAGTCTAAAAGTATTTCCTGAAGCCAAAACACCACCATCACTTTCACCTAGGAGTTACATCATACTTCTGTATAAAATTCATGACAGGCACACAAATCCAGGATGTGAAGTCACACAGAGTACAGTGCCAGTAAAAGATATTTTGCCAATACTTGGTATTTTTAATTAAACAAGAAAAAAGAGGGATGCAGATCATTACATAATTAACAATCAAAACCTTATGAAAACTCTAAACATCATCTCCACCCCCCTGAGAATCATTTTATAGGTGTTAAACATCTCAATGAGATTAGAAAAATAAAATAAATGGTCTCTCCTTAATCAGTCTAAGGTTAAAAAAAGGAGAACTGAACTAAATTCCAGTAGAGAAACACAGCTTCTGGGAAAATAATGCATGCAGTATACAACAGTCATATTAACCTAATTCTGTCAGATTATTCTACAGGGTGTTAATAGTTGTCTACTAAAACTCACCTAGCTTCCACTTTCTTCTCTGTCATTGAAAGACTATTACTTCAATCTTCTGATCATTATGAACATGAATGAGCAGAAAATTTTCCAAATAAACTTAATGATCCTATACACCCAAAGATAAAAATACACATCAAATAACTCTTAACAAGGAACCTTGTTCTTTTTCTTTCAAAAGGTACATGTCAAATATTCCTCCAATTATCTAAAGGCGTTAAATTAAAGCTTTAGTAATAGCTCAAAGTTACTAAGAAACCAAATAGTATTTAACATACGTTGCATCAAAACGCTATCAGTTGTAATGGATGTATTTAAGATTTCATACTATTTTCCTTTTTCAATACAGGATTATCAAGATATCTACTTTTAAACATTTTTAACAGCTGTGGGAAGTCAGGGTGGTTTTGTCAGAATGTGTCCTTTAACGAAAGGGTTCATTATTTTTCAACTGGTTAATTATTAATTTTAGCTTCTGCTTACCACCTCTTCAGATAACTGATACAAGTAAAGTTCTTTCTATGAATAAATTGATTTCTTCTCAATTAAGAAGCAATTAATTATTAGTATAAGACATTTATAAGTTTCATCATATAAATATTAAGATACAATTAAAATATTCTGTTTTCATGCTCAAAGAAATACATTCCTTTTGTGTCTCAAGGAACTTTCAGTGACAGACAAAGAGGTAACAGACAGGTTGCAATGCAATTTTCCGTTAGATATGAATCAAAGATTTTTAACTTGGTCAAACACTGAAACAGTTTGCTCTAGGGACGCTGTGACATCTCCATTCTCAGAGATATTCAGAACTCAACTGGACAGGGTTCTAAGCAACTTCATTGAAATTGAGCCTGCTTTGAGAGGGGACAGAATCAACGACCTCCAGAAGTCCTGTCCGACCTTAATTTCTTTATATATCTAATTCAGCTTTCTAGATAAGTTTCCAAATACTGCCACTGCTAACATTTTCAAGAGCATGACCACGACATACACACAGTGCTTTGATTTTGCTTTTTCTTCTGATGTGCATTTATTTCATGTTCTAGAAGATTATTCTAAGCTTCACAATTGAGACACTTCATATCAGTGCTTTCACTTTCAGTTTTTGGATTCAACTTCATTATTCTGCTCAAAAGCAATTTTACCTTTCCACTGCAGAATATTCTGAAGCTTTTAGTAACCAGCAACTAAAGGAGAATAGCATGAGCTATCCTACATTCAGTTTTAA